GGCGGCTTTTTTGACGAAAAGCAAGCAGTACCCCCAAACTACCCCCAAACATACTCAAGAAACTTGTCAAACATCGCCCCCAGACTATTTTTACCTAACAGCTTTTGCTGATAGGTTTCTAGTGGTCTCAAAAGAGAGCAGCAGATGACTCCACAGGGGGGTCGGGGCGGGAGCCGGGGCGGCTGCCGCCGAAGCCGAAATCGCTTGGGACATCCTCGCAAAATCGCTCTTGGTGCTCCCAGAACTCCATTCCCGGGCCACATTTTGGATGCCCGGAGCCAACTGTAAGCCACTTCGTGCTCTTCGACTTCCCAGAAATCTCATCCCGGGTGGATTTGCCAGGGGCAGCCATACTGAGTGCCATTCGTGCTTTCGGACTTCCCAGAAACTCCATTCACGGGTCACATTCTGAATGTTGGATGCCGGAGCCAACTGTAAGCCACTTCGTGCTCTTCAAGTTCCCATAGAATCCTTCCTGGGCAATGATTTTTGAATGCCGGAGCCAACTGTAGGCCACTTCGTGTTCTTCGAGTTCCCAGAACTCCATTCCTGGGCCACATTTGAATGCTGAGGCAGCTGATACTGAGCGAGGCAGGCTGCAGGCTGAGGCATGGCTGAGGCTGAGGCCGAGGCTGAAGGCAGATGAGGCTGAGGCTGAAGCAGACTGAGGCTGAGGCTGAGGCGAGGCTGAAAGAAGGGGTGAGGCTGAGGCAGGCTGAGGCTGCAGGCTGAGGCTGAGGCAGGCTGGCTGAGGCAGGTGAGGCTGAGGCCGAGGCTGAAGGCAGACTGAGGCTGAGGCTGAAGCAGGCTGAGGCTGAGGCTGAGGCAGGCTGAGGCTGAGGCAGGCTGAGGCTGAGGCTGAGGCAGGCTGAGGCTGAGGCTGTGACTGCGACTGCCGTTGCCGCTGCGACTGTCATCGCGAATGCGACTACGACTGCGAGAACAGCAGAATTCTACAACTGGATTTTCATCTGAATCTTAAGGGGAATGCTTTCAGATATGCTTCTACACATCGCTGTTAGGTTGCTTTGCCGGGATAATTTTGACTTTTTGGGGTATTGCCCCTGTAGAGGGACAGGCCCGACTTAACCCTGGCCGCCGCCGAACGAAAGGTGGGGGCGATCAAAACCGACGACCTTCTTAGAGGCCTCCTAGATGGGGTCGGAGTAGATGAGGTCGGGGGATCGCGCCGCATCGCCGATACATCGACGATGCATCGGCGACGTATCGGCGATGCATCGGCGATGCACTGGCGATGCATCGTCGACGTCGGCGATGTATCTGCGACGTCGACGCGAAGCAAATCGGGCTCCACATCGAACCACATCGCCGATGCATCGGCGATGCGGTGCGACCCTCCGACCCCACCTGGGAGGCCTAGACTTCTGGGGCCAGGCCGCCCGACGTCGCGCACCGCACCCCGCGGGGCGCGGCGCACGGGCCCTCCTTCGCCCTCCCCACAGGGGCCGCCCTCCTTTTGGAGCGGGGCGCCCCTCCCGCTCCGAGCCGCAGGGCGCGAGGCGCCACCACCTCTCCGCGCTCCCGGGAGTGTAGAAGAACAAGACGAAGAAGAAGAAGAAGAAGAAGAAGAATAAGAATAATAAGAAGAATAATAAGAATAATACGTAGAATATTAATGATAGTAATAATAATAATAATAAGAAGAAGAATAATAATAATAATAATAATAATAAGTAGAAGAGACGAGTAACAATAACAATAATACGAATCACAATAATAAGAAGAAGACGAATACAAAAAAAGACAACTAATAAGGATATAATGGGAGAAGAGGAAGACAAAGACGAAAAAAACTAACAAACCACATAAGCACCAACTTTTGGCGCTCCGCGCGGATCTCTTGGATTCGGGCAGGACCCCCTCCCTGGCGCGCGGAGCGCGCCAGGGGCGGCGCCGGAGGCGCCGCCGGGGGGCCCAGGCGCGGATCCAAGAAATCCAAGCGGAGCGCCAATAGTTGATGTTAGTGTGTGTGTGTGTTTGTTCTTCTTCGAGAGTGACCCTGGCTCCCAGGCCGCCAAAAATCAGCACGGGATGGAACATCAGCCCTGGCTTTTGCTGTTCATCATCCCTGGGGAATTGCTGGAAGGATCTCGTACAGTCGGACCTAGGCCAGACGAGCATCCCTCGAGAACGCGAGACCCTCCGCCGGCCCAAACAAAGAGAACATCCAAGGGTGCCCTCCCCCAGGGTGGGCAAGAACACCCAGCAGCACACGAAGAACACGAGGGTGCCCTCCCCGAACCGACCTCGGTCGTATACCTCGGTCCGACTGTAAGCCCGAGGTCCGCGCAGACTTCTTGGATCTGAAGCGGACCCCCTTCGCTGGCGCGCCGAGCGCGCCAGAGTTCGCGCCAGAGCGCCGCCGAGGGGCGGCGGCGCAAATCCGAGAACTCCGCGCGGACCTCCCCGGTGGCGAGGAGGAGGAGGAGGAGGAGGAGGAGGAGGAGGAGGAGGAGGAGGACGAGAAGGAGGAGGGGGAGGAGGAGGAGGA